CAGCACCACAGTCTATCTTCTTTCGCTCAGCTTCCTTATGGTCCAGCTCTCACATCCATAGGTTACTATGGGGAATACCATTGCTTTAACTATGCGGATCTTTGTTGCCAATGCGATGTCTCTACTCTTCACTATTTTATCAAGATTGGTCATTGCTCTCCTCCCAAGAAGTAAGCATCTTCTGATTTCCTGGTTGCAGTCTGCATATTTAAATGCAAAATAAAATAAAATAAAATAAAAATTTAAAAATTTCAGAGGAAGGCAAAAATGGGAATGAATGAAGCTATAAATGAAAACATGCAAAATCAAGATGCAAGAGAAACAAACTGATCCAGAAATCCAGAAATATACTTATTTGAAAATATCTTGTATCTGGTTCCTAGGTTTTGTTGTACCATTAATTCTTGGAATTAGCATGGCATCCGAATTCGTTTTTATTTGTTATAGTTCAGAGCTCTAAAACAGAAACATTATTTGTTTCTCTTAGTTAATTTCAGTGCACTTTCCAAGCATTTGAACTTTGCTTGTGTGAAATGTTAAAGATAGAGTTTCCTCCCTGATGAATCCGTCAATAGTCTTTATTGTTAAGAAGTAACCAGATGCTTTGCTAAAATGTTAGGTCCTCTCTCCTTCCATGGAAAGTGATTCCCCCTCCCCACCCTATTTTTCCCCCCTCAAAAAAGGTAGGTCAAGGCTAAAGCATTATTTTACTTTCTTAACAGTGGAAACAATCTGGAGGTATGTTTTAGAAATATCTTGCTCTGGGCACAGGAATGAAGCTATCACTACAGCTAGAAACCCAGTGCAAGGCAGAACCTTGCAAAGTGATTTTTTATTACTGTAAAAGGATTAATTGCATTTCTCAGCTGAAATCTAAATAAGCTTATATACATCTTTTTCACTCGACTTGTGCCTTTGCACATGATCTAAGCTACAGGCATATGTTTCAGAATGCCTGATCTAGGTTTAAATACCTTCTATATACGTTTCAGCATGCGAAACATTACCTTTTCTACCTTTAATGTGATTTATACCAATTAAGGAGAAACTTGAGTGCCCTTTCTAGGAAAGCCTGACATTAATGCATATAAATGGAACAGCAACAGTGTAATTCAGGTATAGCTCATGGGCTTTTGTGGCATTTTTTTCTGAAGGTGAGTGTTTGTTCTTTAAATGTCTGGTACAATGCTCATTTATGCCCCAAACTAATTTCAGATTACTTCTCAGTCCAGGGTGATGTGGGTGTATTTTCCTCTCCGGTTTGATGACTTTTTAATTAACTACACTTTACTACCTTTATGCATTTATTCCTCCCTGCTCTCCGTGTATGTTAGGTGGAATCAGTAACACCTTCTCAATCTCCTGAGCTTGGAAACGTTTCTTGTTAGATAGAATAGGTTAACACTCTGTGTTTATTTATTTTGGCTGCTATCCAGTTAATCAGCAATGATGTCATAAGTTAGACTTCTGTTTGCTTCTAAACTATTACAGGCTCCACAACAAAGACCCATTTAGTGAGCAGACCCTTCAGGCAGCGCAGAGCATTGTGTCCTCCATCTCTGAAGCCAAGAAAGAACAGTGGATCAAGCTGATCACAGAGGTCGACAACATGGGCAGGAGCAGCCAGAAGGCGTGGAGGCTGCTAAGATGGTTGAGCAATGACCCCTCACAAACTAATACCCATGGCAACATAAAGGCAGATCAGATAGCACACCAACTCTTGAAGAATGGGAAACCCAACCTTCCCACCAAAGTAGGAAAGAAACCAATAGCCAGACAAAAAGAGATTGAGAACAACAACCTTCATGAGTCCTTTACATCTACTGAATTGGACATGGCTCTCAATAAATGTAAGAATAGCAAAGCAGCTGGCTTGGATGATCTACAGATGGAACAAATCAAGAACTTTGGTCCAAAAGCAAGGCGCTGGCTGCTGGAGCTGATGAACAACTGCACTACATCCTGTCAGATCCCCAAAATCTGAAGGAAAACAAGAGTCATCACCATCTTGAAGCCAGACAAAGACCGTAATGATCCAAAAAGCTACAGACAAATCTCCCTGTTGTGCCACCTCTACAAAGTTCTGGAGAGACTTATTTTGCACAGAATTATGGAAAAAATAGACCCATGTCTGATTCCACAGCAAGCTGGCTTCAGGAAAGGCAAAAGCTGCACATCACAAGTGCTGAACCTGACTCAGCACATAGAAGATGGCTTTGAAAGGCAGCAGATCACAGGAGCTATCTTCATAGACTAGTCAGCAGCCTATGATACTGTGAACCACCGCCTCCTCCTGAGAAAAATGTATAATATCACAAAGGACTGCCACCTCACCCGCCTCATAGGAAACCTGCTACAAAATAGGAGCTTTTTTGTTGAGTTCCAGGGCCAGAGAAGCAGATGGCGGAAACAGAAGAACGGCCTGCCTCAGGGGAGCATGCTCGCTCCATCAATGTTCAACATTTACACAAATGAACAACCACTGCCACAAGGGACAGAGAGTTTCATCTATACTGATGATTGTGCCATCACCGCTCAAGCAGGGAGCTTTGAGATGGTTGAACAGAAGATCAAAGCTCTAGGTGCTCTTACTGCCTATTACAGGGAAAACCAACTGATCCCTAATCCATCTAAAACACAGACATGTGCTTTTCACCTTAAGAACAGACAAGCATCCTGAGCTCTGAGGATTACCTGGGAAGGAATCCCACTGGAGCATTGCAGCACACCCAAATACCTGGGAGTCACTCTGGACCGTGCCCTGACCTACAAGAAGCACTGCCTGAATATCAAGCAAAAAGTGGGTGCTAGAAACAATATCATACGAAAGCTGACTGGCACAACCTGGGGATCACAACCACACACAGTGAAGACATCTACCTTTGCACTATGCTACTCTGCTGCTGAGTATGCATGCCCAGTGTGGAACACATCTCACCACACTAAACAGTGGATGTGGCTCTTAATGAGACATGTCGTATTATCACAGGGTGTCTGCGCCCTACACCACTGGAGAAACTACACTGCTTAGCCGGTATTGCACCACCTGACATCTGCTGGAAAGTAGCAGCCAATAGTGAAAGGACCAAGGCAGTGACATCTCTAGCTAATCTCTTGTTTGGGTATCAGCCAGCACGTCAATGACTTAAATCAAGAAATAGTTTTCTTAGATCTACAGAGACACTCGCTGGAACACCTCAGCAAGCGAGAGCCCAAAAGTGGCAGGCTCAAACCCAGCACCTCAATCCGTGGGTGATACCAGATGAGAGACTCCCTCCTGGTCACACAGAAGACTGGGCAACTGGAAGGTGCTGAACAGACTGTGCTCTGGCACCATGAGATGCAGAGCCAATCTTAAGAAATGGAGCTACAAAGTTGAATCCACAACATGCGAGTGCGGAGAAGAGCAAACCACAGGCCACCTGCTGCAATGCAACCTGAGCCTTGCTACATGCACAATGGAGGACCTCCTTGCGGCAACACCAGAGGCACTCCAAGTTGCCAGATACTGGTCAAAGGACATTTATTCAACTACCAAGTTTGCAAATTTGTGGGGTTTTTTATCTGTTTGTTTGTTTGTTTCGTTCTGTTAGAAATGTAATACAATGGTCTGGTTGCTGATGACACGATAAATAAATAAATAAGTTAGACTTATAATCATGTTACTGTTTCCTATTCCTATTTATTGTCATTGTTATCAATATTTCCCAAAATCCAACTTTAATTCTATCCAGCTGTGCTGAGAGATGGAGTTCTGACAAGTGGGGCAATAAAAACTGATTCCCCCTCCTACCAGAAATCAGCTCTGTGTTGACAGATTGTAGGGATCTCTGCTTCTGCTTGTCCTTAGCAGATTGGCAATCATTGTCAGAAATGGACTGAATGCATCACCCTTCAGCTTTCTACTTTCCAGAGATCTTTCCCTCAGTGCTGCTGGGTGGATTTTAAAGTGGATTCAAGGAGCTAGATTGGCAGCCCGAGCATAGCCATAACAGTGTGGCTTTGTGTCTCTTGCAGGATTGCCACGTTTCTTTATATCTCACCTTCTCCCATTATGGAACTCAAGGTTGCTTATAACAAGTTATAACAAAACAGAGTTGAAAATCCTGATGATAAAAAAGTTTAAACACAATGAAACAAATGGTCATATTAAAATGCCATTAATTTTTTAAAAAAACCTTTTAAAATGTAACAATACACACAAGACTAGAACATGCCCCCTCCCTAATATAACACCCATTCAGTAACCAATGGATCATTAAATGCCTTTTAATGTATCTATGTATGTATGCACCCACTGGTGAAAGAAGACAAGCCTAATCTCACATAGAAACAAATCCAGAGTCTGGGAGCCACTACTACTCTGTACAATTAATACAGTTTGACACCACTTTAACTGTCTTGGCTCAGTGTTATGGAATCCTGGGAGCTGGAGTCTGATGAGAGACTCCCTCCTGGTCACTCTTTGGCAGAGAAGACTTAAAAACCATGTCAAACGACAACTCCTCCACTGATGGTAATGGGCAGGTTAACGTAAGGACATGTTGCTCATTATTCAGTCAAAACATAAACAAAAGATTGAGAATATTAATTGAACAAGCTTTTTTTCTACTGAGTCTTGCTAATTCATAACCTTCCCGTCTGTGTTACAGTGTACATTGCCCAGGCAATATAGGAGAACACATGTATTGATACAGAAAGGTGCAGAATCCCAAACTGAGGTGCCCACCTATGTTCATTTCCCAGTATTTTGTGTATATGATGTACACTAACCATGCAATTCAGGGAGGGAGCATATGGAATACTTTTCCAGATTTTTTTTCTTCCCTAATTACACATCCCAAGATTTCAAAGCAATCCATACAGTAATCATAGTGTTATAACTGCAGAACCTCCATATATTTTACAGATGGGAACTGGTACATAGGTTTTCAAGCAACATCCAAGTATGGCCATAATGAAAGAACATAAGAATTAGGAAAACCACAGAAACAACTTACTAAGAAGGGCAAGTTTCCATTCCACCCCAGCTTCCTCCTCTCCTCTGTGCAAACTGTAGTTTGAGTTGAATTTTCAGCAACTAAAATAAGCTGAGGGAAAAGGGAGAGAATAAGAGAAAAACTGAGACATTTAAAAAGGAGATAGAAAAGTGGAAAGACAGGGGATATTTTAAGACTCTCTGACAAATTAGAACAATTGGAGGATATGTAATTGTTAGGGCTGGGCGGTTTCGTTTCGTAATTTCGTAATTCGTTAAAAATTCGTTATTTTTTTTATAACGAAGCGATATTGAACCATTCAGGAGCAACTAAAAAACGAAACGAATTTTTCCAATTCGTTTCGTAATTGTTTAGGAATTGTTTCGTTATTGATTCGTTATTGATTCGTAAATGTTTCGTTATTATTTCCGCATGTGTGGTGCAAGTTTTAGGGTTGCTGTTTGTTTTCTCAGTGAAAAAATATATAATTATCACACCAACAGTCAACAACAGAGGGAGAGGGAAGCTTCAGAAGTTTTTTTAGCGTATTGCGCGATCGCGGCCGCCATTAACGAATCGATTCGTAATCGATTCGTAATTGTTTCGTAATTGTTTTATGATTTCCGAAATTTCGTAAATATCGAACTTTTTTAAAGGAAAATTTCGGAATTCTTTTAAATAACAAAACGCAAAAACCCCCTAAAAACGAATCGAGTTTAGAAACAATTTTTTTCGTGTTTGGACAGCCCTAGTAATTGTGTAATGTGAAATGGATCCTGGGCATTAACACTTTGAGAGAGAAACCCTCTCAATATGAAACAGGGCCCCTCTCATTCTACTGTATTCATATGGTTCATACAGTTCATAATTTTAAATTACCCTGCTTTGTCCATATATTTTTGCACCGCAGCCCCCTAGTAATTTTGGAGGCTTTTTTTGCCAATCACCTAAACATTTCAAAAATTGCAACACATTAAACAGAGTTAAAACAGATTTTAAAAGTTAAAAACTTAGAAAACACAGCATCCAAGTTCATGGTCTGAGTCTGTTCCAAGGTCAATTGCATAAGGTTTTAATTTAAAAATACTGCATTGCCTTAGTTTCCAAAGGCCTGCTCATAGAGCCAGGTTTTGACTCTTTTCCTAAAGGCTAATAGGGAGGGAGATGCTCTGATGTCGCTAGGGAGTTCCATAACTGAGGGGCCACCACTGAGAAGGCCCAGTCTCTCGTCCCTGTCAGCCACACTTGTGAGGCTGGCAGGAGTGAGAGCAGGGCCTCCCCAGAAGATCTTAATCTACATGCTTATTCATAAGCGACAATTTTTTCAGACAGGTAGCCTGTGCCATGCTGTTTAGCCAGCACTTTGAATTGTGCTTGGTAGCAAACTGGCAGCCAGTGGAGCTGGAGCCAATGAGCAACCTGGCTGCCACTCGCTGGACCAGTTGGAGCTTCTGAACAGTCTTCAAAGGCAACCCCATGTAAAGCAGGCATGGACAAACGTTGGTCATCCAGATGTTTTGGACTTCAACTCCTGCAATTCCTAACAGAAAAAAGTTTGCCCATGTCTGGCCTAAGGTTAACTTAAGGTTGGTCTCACAACTTTGATATGAGGATAAAAAGAAGCAGGAAGACCATATGAGGAACCTTGAACTCAATGCCATTTTAAAAGAAGAACATGGGTGATTTCTTTTGCATGCACACATAAAAATAGCCCATGATAAAAGAATTATGTTGTCTTTCTGCACAGAGCAACCCCCCCCCCCAAATTGGAATGTATGAATATTGTGAGAAAAACGCATAAAATTCTTACTACTGTGTTATTTTTACCAACTGATTTTCCTGAGTGTCAAGAAACCTATGTTTCAGTAAGGAAAGAAATAATTGTGAACGTTCTTTCTGTCTCTATCTCACAGTCTGTTTAACATGACTTCTCTTGAACTGACAAGGTGATGTATGTGTCTGTCTGGGACTTTGTTCCATGGAAATTGCCATACAGTGTGACTCTGTGTCTATGGTGAGTTGAACTTTTACTGATGCCATCACAACTTTTGACCTACTGCTAAATAAAAGTTAGGAATGATGCACCAAATCGTGTGCAGGAACATATTCGTAGCCAGGAACCTCTGCATATGCAGATTTTAGACCTCACAATAACTCAGCAATGTGTCAATAACACATCATTGTTCACAAATCCTTGAAACAGTATGGTTGGAGGGAGTAAAAACAAAGAAAAGCCTGCAAAACATATGGCATGCCAGTTATTTTTAATTATTAAGAGTTCTTTCAAAATACTGGTATCAGCATCTTTAAAAAGCCATGACACAGAATAGGTTTTTTTTCTCTCCTACATATTAGCAATTTACCAATGTTGCTATGGTGTGTGTGCATCTATCTATGTACCTCATCTTAACTGCTACCTTGCTTAGATCAGAGGAATCTATCTTCTTCAGAAAATATAATATAGATTGCATAAAGCACACATATGCCAAAGATTGAAAAGCTGCTACTTGTTGAGACAGTAAAGTGCTCGATTTCTCCAGATAATTCCACCTGTCAGTTAAACATGAACACAAGACATTGAGCAGCCAATCTGAATTTTTTATTGGAAATAAAATAATGAGGGATACTGGATTTTTAATGTTAAAAACACCTCATGCTCTAAAAAAGCATGAATAAATAAAGTAGGATTTTCAGACAATGCTTTTTAAATATTAGTACCATGGGAGGAAAAAAATCTGCAGTATATTTGAACCGCTTCTTCCCCTTTTTACTCTCATAGAGGAAAAAGACAGAAAGAAAGTAGAAAGACAGAAACTTGGTTCTGATCTTACCGTGCCACTTTTCATACGATGTTAATCAAAAAGGGTTGTATCCACTTGTGTCTTTTCTGCCAGCAGAAAAGTAACCACTGGAGGAAAAAAATCCTCTTCATTCCTTTAGACCCATGAACACACTCAGGACCTGCTTTGGCAGGTAGGATAACCTCATGGATCATATTTAGGTGGCATAAGGGTGCAGTGGTGAAGAGGAAATGCGGTTATGCAATATTTTTATTGTTATTTTTCAAGTATCATATGTGGTTGGTTCTCTCAATGTGCCATAGTACATTCATTTTAGACAGTAATGCAGATATCTGATGCTAAGAAATAGATCTATGGGCCACAGGTCATTCGGAGGAATAAAGTTAGCTCTCCACATTTGTTGGGGTTAGAATCACAGGAAGACAATGAAAATTTTAAAACGTGAATAAAGAAATTGCTAATTTTTTACCTGAGATAACAACTTCCTAGGAATTTCTAGTCTTCCGGCATGACTCTGTGGTCAGCTTCCTCTGAAGCTGGCCATAGAATCACTTTAGAGAATCTAGAGATTCCTAAAGAGGTGTTCACTCTAGAAATGTCTATGTCCTCCAGCATGAATGAATTATGGAATCACCCAGGAGGACCTAGAGATTCCAAGAAAGAAATTTTAAAATCAAATCCGTGAATAATCAAATCCACAAAAATCAAAACCACAAATGTGGAAGCGTGACTGTACTACAGGTAGTTTATAGGAAACTAGAGAGATTGGTCAGTGAGGTCATGAACTAAATCCAGTGGTTAGCACCTCCTAGAGAACAACAACTGAATCAACAATAGTATCCCCATATCTCAGGACTTGCAACCACATAAAATGTACCTTTGGAAGCATTTTATGATGCTTCCACTCCAGCTGGAGGATGGGTGGGCCCGCTGCCCATCGCACAACGTAAGGTAACTTCCTGTGGAAGCCCCTTCTCCAGCAGGAGGAAAAGTGTTGTACGATGCTTCCTTCTCAACATGGGAGGCTTCCAATGGAGTGAGCACATTTCTGCACAGCCTGGGCAACTCTTCCCCCATGTGATGAGGGAAGGGTCACTGTGAGAGAGTAGTGTGCATGGCCAAGGATTCATCCCAGCTGCCCCTCATTTTGGTGGCTAATATAGTAAAGTTCTTGGTCTCTTTTTTTTATTCTCTGGGCAAGTGAGAAGAATATCAGGGCACAAGCACTGCCTTAAAAAGCGTATGTCTATATTTTCCTCATTTGTTACATTTAGACATCTTACTTAACTGGCATATTCAACTGTGGTGAATATTTAATGCTTAATGACATCACCATGGGCTTCCCCTTATAACATCACCAGAAGTCATCCTTGGGTCTCATGTTTTCGATCTGAGATAGCCCTGACCTGGCAACTCTAATCAATGGGAACTTGTAAATCTACACAGTTTGCTAAGTTCCACCTTTTCAATGGGACTTTTGTTGGGACTAAATCAAATTTAGCTCCTCCTGCAGAAAGAATGAAAAGCAAAACAAGATGAAGCAGCTGAATGGGTCTGTTTCTCATACTTAAGCAATTTCAGATGTTAATATGCAGGTCATGTCCAGCTGTTTAAATATATTAAAATTAGTATCTATGTGTTAATATTAGCAATGCTAACTTACATAGAACCAAATCCACATATACACTGTCATATAATGCAGTGCATTTTATAAGTCTACACTGAACTGCATTATATGAGTTTGTGCTAACCTCTAAAATTGAAACTCTGGAATTATTAAAAAGAGTGTGTGTGAGAGAGAATGAGACTAAGAAAGACTTGTGATGGCTTAGGTTCAATTTTTATTATTGTAAATCCCTAACAGGATGCCAGACATTGTTATGCTCTTATTGTCAAAATAATGTTACAGGTGACAATATTGTTTCTTGTAACTCATTATTTCCAAGTTCTGCTAGTTCAAGTCTACTACTGCCATGAATTCATTAGGTATTTTCTGAAAGTCATTATCGTGCATCCTCTTTATTGCAGTAACAGAGTTAGTGGTATAAACCTATGAAAGTACTCCAAATTGAATTAAACCATTTATCCATCTAATCACACATTTATCAACTATGACAGACAACAACTCTTCAAATTTTCAGGAAGAATTTTTCCTAGCCAACCTGGAGATCACTTGTGGAACTTAATTTTCCCCATCCAAATACTAGCCAGGCTCAATCCTGCTTAGCCTTCCAAGTCAACTAAGAATGGGTGGTGTTCAAGGCATAGTGATACTGAATTACTTGATATAATAGAAGTAAGGAATATTTG